TTCCAAGATTGATGAGAAAACTTCCCTAAAATTACCATTCTATTGAAAACGTCCTATTAAAATGAGTTTTTTATTTTTATGGATTCACTATGAATAAGTGAATTGGTGGGTATCAAACTGTGACCACCATACCGACATTTAATCATTGGAGACACAAGGGTTACATTGGAGTGAAAAAGGACCGGTGAGATCGTTGAAGTTTTTGAAAAATAAGCTAATAACTCAAAAAAAATGTTATTTTTCCCAACTTTTTTTTATCTACTTTTTTTCTCTTAATTACCTTTCTGTTTCTAGTACTTGGTACTACATGCACACCAAGTGTTCAATCATTTGCTAAAAAAAAACTAAAGAAATCATATACATTGTGTCATGCGTCATATCCATGTATGCAGTGTGACATTGACTTGTAGTAGTGTGACATTGGTTTGTAACAATGTGATATTTGCTAGTAGCAATGTGATATTTGCTAGTACCAGTGTGACATTGTCTTGTACCATTATGACATTATTGTTTACCACTATGTCAATGTGACATGTACTACTATGTCAATGCGACATGTATCACTGCTAATTATAAACACATCGAATAACATATATATAAATTTAAATTTAAAATATCCATGAAAAACAACACTCATAATAACCAATGGTATTATATAAGCTGAAAACATATATTCCTTATTACGATTTATAAAAAAAAAAAAATTATACAAATGTGGGAAGAAATGAATGTTTGAATAAAAATGAATATTTGAATAACTTCAGTTGAATAAAAAATAAAGATATAATTAAAATTCAAAAATACTATTCCATAAATTTAGGAAATTGAATCCCTAATATAATTGTCAAATTTTATTAGCTTATAGATAGTAATGTCTTTTAGAGTGGATTTTGGGGCGTTATAGGTTTTGTCTCCTATTAATATAGGAAAAAGATAATTTCGTAAAAGAAAATTTTAAAAATCAGTAAAAGTGTATCTCTCCACCAAACATTTCCACACAAAAGCACTTATACATATATATTTTATATTGAGGTACTTTTACACAAATAAATATGTGGTGTACCTTTTCACAATTTCCCCCAAAATTAAATCCATTAATACCTTAAGCCCTACAAAAAGGTCATATAAAAATATAAGTCCAATCAAAAAAAAAATTTAGGTCTCATTTCAAGGAAGGCCCCATAATTTATAGATGTGCAGTAATAGTCCAATCAAAAAAATTAAATCCATATCCAAACAAAAGATTTCAATTTAAATAGATTGGCCATATTAATTCAGTTGTAAAATTAAAAGATCATAAAATTTATTATTTTTCATAAAGAAGAAAAAAATACTGTAAAACTTAAACTACTAAAAAATCTAATTTTAACCCTTAAAAAGATCAAGTTTAAACTTACCATAATAATTTTTTAATCATTCTTTTTCTCTCTTACCATTAAGTTCAAATATGGGACCAAAAACTTGAATATAAAATTTTAATTAATATTTTTTTATTTTAAAAAAGAAAAAATTAAATTTATTATTAATTTTAAAAATAAAAAGACCTCATTTACCATTTTCACTTTAGGCCCCAAAATGTCTTGGGCTACCCCTAACTATTTGGTACTCATTAAAATTTAAATATTGATTTTTTTTTTTGAGTAATTTAAATACTTAATTGAACTAATCTGTTTGATAACAAAATAAAGCTGACATACGAAATAATTTATTTTGTAGTTTTACCATTCTACTCTTTACTTTAAAAATATTTTATAAAATATGTATTTATCTAATAAAAAATCAAGATATATCATTACAAGTAATTCATATTATAAATCATAATCATTATTATCATATTGTAGTCTCATTGGCACTCTCAAATCTAATTAAAAAAATTAACTATTAATCAAACAAAGCAAGAATATAAAAATAACAAATTGAATAATAGAATAATCGAACAATAATAAATATTAAAATCATTCCACCACCACTACTGCCCCACCACAATCACTACCACAACCACCGCTTCCACCCTACCATCACCTCTGCCACAACCACCACCACTGCCATCACCCCACCCATCGCCCCATCACCACCACCACTGTTGTTGCCACCCTACCACCTTCATCGTCCCACTACCACCATCACCATTGCCACCAACCACTATCGTCGTCGCTACCCCACCACCACTTTTTCCACAATAACCACACCACCATCCCCACCACCACATTTTCCATTACAACCACCATTGACCCACCACCACCATCCCCACTACCTCTGCCCCACTCCCACCGTTGCCGCCACCCAACAACCACCACCATTATCGCACCATCACCTCCATTGCACCACCACTACCCCTACAACCATCATCACAACAACCACCACCACTATCTCACCATCACCTCCATTGCACCACCACTACCCCTACAACCATCATCACAACAACCACCACCACTATCTCACCATCACCCCCATTGCACCACCACTACCCCTACAACCATCATCACAACAACCACCACCACCACCATCACTGTTGTTACCACCACTACTGCCACCCAACCCATCGCCCCACCACCACCTCCACCGCCCCATCACTACCACCAATAACCACCGTCGCCACCACCCAACCACCACCTCTACCACAATAACCACCGCCGTCACCCCCACCACCACTGTCCCACCATCACCCCCTACCACCACCGCCCCCATTGCACCACCACCCATCCCTATTACTACCACCACCACCGCCACCGTCACTACCACCGTTGCCACCCCACCTCGACCACCGCCACTCCCACCACCTCCTCCACCACATCCATTGCCACTATCACCAATAAAATTTAATTCTCTTTCTCTATTTTTTCAATTGATAAAAGCCTTGATTATATTTTGGTCACCGAATTTAAGTTCAATTAATAGATTTTCTATCTGCAAAATTTGAATGACAATATTAAAATAACTTATTATATCTCAAAAATAAAAAAAAATTAAATAAATATATATTAGTATTTTAATTATTAGTAAGTCATATATCTATCTATCTATATATATAAAACAATCAAATAAGAGGTGAGAGGACTAAGAAGTCTTCCTTCCTCATTTCTTAATTTCTTATAATTTAAAATTTTTTAATTCAAAACTTAGTTCTCTCCAATACATATGTCATTGGTAATTACCCACGTACTCCTCAATAATTAACCACTATTCTTTAAAATTTATTCAAAAAAAATAATTTTTATTACCCCAAATTTTTATATAATTATTTATTTAACTTCTCAAGTGATAAAATAATAACAATAAAATATGAATTATAATCCTGTGAATTACACGGGACAAACTACTAGTATTATTATATTATAGATTGTTAGAGTCTTATCTAATAATTTGGTCACCAATGGACCTTTAATCCAATGATACTCTTTATTTTTGTGAAATTTTTGTCTTCTTAAAGTCAAGGATTCACATTCTCTATCTCTTTCCAAAAAATAATAATAATAATTTGGTTTAAAGCCTCAATTTGTGTCTGACCATCTCTAAGTGGTGACGATGTTACAGTACACGTGCAACTAGTTTAGAGCGAGAGTCAGAAGATTCTATATTCTTCTCCTTTTCAAAGAATCCAACACCTTCATCGTCCAACATAAACCTTTCCCCAAGGTTAGAGGTATGCATGGGCAGTATATTCTATTCTATTCTATTATATAAATGTTTCAGACGTTTCTTATGTTCGGATGTTGTTCATATCTTGTTGTTTTTGAATTATTCTGTTACAAGTTTCTGTTATGGACGACTCTAAATGTATTTTTTTTTCCTGTTCTTTTCATCACTTGGTTTTATTATACGAGTAATGCTAAAAAAAAGACATCAAAAATAAGGAGTAAATGATGTATTATTATTGTACTCGTGAAATTCTAGTTTCCAGGACCCGTAGTTGGGTTGCTGATGAAACTGATTGATTATTTGAGTAAATAATGTCCGGGGAATCTCACTTTCTATTGTGAAAGATTTAAATTTTTTATTTATTTTATACTCTCAAATATTAAATTTTTTATATTGCACGTTTAATATATTTTAAATATTACAATGTGACATTTTGTTGCCTTCCGTGATTTATTTCGTCAAAAATCACCTCATCAACGTTGATAAGATGAGTGATGAAAACTACAAAGACCACATTAAAACACTTTTCATATATTAATGGGGTGTAGTGCAATATGAGAAATTTAATATTTGAAAATGCAAAGTAAGAGTTATTTAATTTAATTTTTTTTTTAAGGTGTAAAATGCAATTCGCCATTAATGTCCGAAATCTTTGAAGATATTTTTCTGTTCTTTTTGTTTTTGTTGACCTTTTAAGAGATGAGAATTAAACCTTTATGGGTTTTTTGGTACGGGAGTTTGGGGGGTTTGGCTACATGAGTTGGGAAGTAAACTCTCTTAAATTTATGTTTGGTAACCATGAAGTATGGATAAGATTTCAAACTCGATCCGGTCATAAAACCCACCCTTTGAGTTTCATGAAACTCAAGGGATGGGTTTCATTTGTGGGTTTGAGGGTTTAACATACAAATGACATTATATCCTTATATATCCTATATATCTTATACATATAAATTGATTAAAGGATATAATAATTATTTATATATAAATATATTATCATAATAGTTTTATATCCTTGCATATATTAAATATGAGTATAGACAGCATTAAATGTTATTCTTTATCCGAAGTTTGTGTTTGGATAATAGGATAAGGGTGATTAACACCGTAAGAATAGAGAAAAAAAAGGTACTGGACCCTATTTTATTCTTTATCCGGAGAGTAGTTTTTGAGACTGGATAACAATCCCAGATTAAACTTGGCCCCGGTTGCTATAGTAACATTTAACCCCATAGGCCGGTCTGAGGAATTTGCCCCTCTCTTCTTCTCCACCCACTCGGCCGCTCATCGCTCTCTCTTTCTCCTGTCAGCTGAGCTCGTCCAAAGGGTTCGCACAGAGGCGAAGACGATCGTGGCGTTGGGAGGTCCTCCAATTGTTTGCATCTGTGGGTGAGAGCTTCTTCACAGAGTCGACGAAGAAGACGACATCGCTGGACAGAACGAAGAACACAGCTTCTTCTTGAGGTAAATTTCTCATCGCTCTGTCTCTCTCTCTCTCTGTGTGAACAGAACGAAGAACACACACCGACAGACCAGATCTGCTTTCGTTCACCCTCTGTTTGACGAACAGGTCTGGAACAGAGGGATGGGGCGTAGGGGTTCTAAATTGCTTTTTTTTTTACCCTTTTTGGTGGGGATGGGTTGACGATTGTGATGGCTTTTGGCGAATGGGGTTGTTTAGATTTTTTCTTCTTCGTTTTTGTGTTTGATGCAGCAGCCGGGGTGTTGGCGGAGATGGTCTAATGGTTTTGAGGGCTTTGGGAGAGAGTGGGTTGTTTAGAATTCTTCTTCTTCTTTAAACTGTTTTTGAGGTAGCAGCCGAGGGTGGAGGGCTGGGGTGGGGCAGTAGGGGATTTCTTCTAACAAAAAAATTGCATAACAGTGGTTATATATATGAAGTTTTGAACTTTTGATCACTTCTGCATGTTCAAATCGAATATGAGTCATAGCCCAGAAGAAAATTGGTTTTAGGCAAAAAAAAAATCATGTGGGTGTTCCTAATTTCTTTGATTAACACCAAACTCAGAATTGCCTGTCTTGTTAACTCTTATTTTTTTGTCTGGTTGTGCTTAATTGATTACACTCATAAGCATCTATTTGCTCTTAGCCCATTTAGCTACATGTTATTCAATTTTTATTTAATCGTCTAAATTTATGTCTTTTGCTGATTGTTCATTGCCATCATAGGAGTTTTCTCAGTGCCATCACAGGAAAAAAGTATGTGTAGGAACTGGGAAGTGCAACATATGTCATGCAAAAGATTTTTGTGTATTGCTTGCTTCTGGACTGCTGGTTGGAGAATTTCTCTTATGGACTTTGTTGTTTTGGTGCCTCTTCTTTGTTTAGAAGTCCTTGCATCCTTCTGCCACTTTTTATTTATTTATTCTTTTTGTCCTTTGGGATGTCAAACGTAATGGGAGAATCCCTTTTGTCAAATGTTATTATGTATATGTAGAAAATGTTTAATTTTGTTAGGATAAGCTGCCATCAATCCAAACATAGGATAGGATTGGATAGAATCATGGGTAGAATGGTAAACTATTACAAAATATTTTGTGTAATCTATGGGGCCCACACAATTACACATTTGTTTCCCAAACAAAGTTTTGGATTGAACATACTCCCTCATCTTGGATTTAAAGTGGATGAGTGGGTTTGGGTTGGATGGGTTAGGATATAAAAAAAGAAATCCTACCCTTTCCAAACACACCCTTTGGTTCCTCCTGCTCCTCACTTGTGCGACTTTGGTCTCTGAACAACAAAAAGTAGTTTAATATGATTGGGTTAGTCTGAAATATGTTTTCTTACTCACTGAAGATTAGCCAACATTTATCTTCTTCTCGATGTAGTGATGAATAGTTTTCTCTTCACCTCTGAATCTGTTAACGAAGGCCACCCTGACAAGCTTTGTGATCAAATATCTGATGCAATTTTAGATGCTTGTTTGGAGCAAGATCCTGAGAGTAAAGCGGCTTGCGAGACCTGTGCCGAAACAAATGTGGTTATGATCCTTGGTGAGATAACCACCAAGGCAAAGGTGAACTATGAGAAGATTGTCCACGACACGTGCAGAGGCATTGGATTTGTGTCTCCTGAAGTTGGTCTTGATGCCGATAGTTGCAAGGTTCTTGTCAATATTGAACAACAATGCCCTGAAATTGCCCAGGTTGTTCATGGTCACTTCACCAAGAAACCTGAGGAGATTAGAGCTGGTGACCAAGGACACATGTTTGGTTATGCGACCGATGAAACCCCTGAGCTGATGCCACTAACCCATGTTCTTGCTACTAAACTTGGAGCCAAACTCACAGAGGTGAGAAAGAATGGAACTTGCCCCTGGCTCAGGCCTGATGGTAAGATCCAAGTGACTGTTGAGTACAGTAATGAGATGGGGGTGATGATCCCATTGAAGGTCCACTCTGTTGTTATCTCAACCCAACATGATGAGACCGTCTCAAACGAGCAAATTGGAAAGGACTTAAAGGAGCATGTGATTAAGCCGGTCATTCCTTCCAAGTACATTGACGACAAGACAATTTTTCACCTCAACCCATTAGGCCGATTTGTTATTTGTGGGCCTCGTGGGGATGCAGGGCTAACTGGTAGGAAGATTATAGTCGACACATGGTGGCTGGGTGCCCATGGCGGTGGTGCCTTCTCAGGAAAGGATCCCAGCAAGGTGGATCGTAGCGGTGCATATATAGCCAGGCAGGCTGCAAAGAGTGTGGTGACTTCAGGGCTTGCCCGTCGATTTATTGTGCAAGATTCTTATGCAATAGGTATGCAAGAACCATTATCAGTATTTGTTGACACTTACAGAACGGGGAAGATTCCAGACAAGGATATTCTGGTTCTAATCAAGCTGAACTTTGATTTCAAGCCAGGGATGGTTTCAATCAATCTTGATTTGAAAAGAGGAGGCAACTTCAGGTATCAGAAGACTGCTGTTTATGGCCATTTTGGCCGTGATGACCCAAATTTTACATGGGAAACTGTTAAGCTCCTTAATCCTAAATAGGGCTGTTATGATCCACCACAACTGGATGCTTTCCCAAGCATTCTTCTTTTTGATTGCCTACCTCACCCTGTGAAGAAGAGTACAAATTGGGCAATTTTGTATAAATCTCGAAGTTGGTCTTTCAAGTGCAATGGTTTTCGAATTAAACAGAGAAGTATTAGATGTTGCACAGCTGAAGTTGAAGTAATTGAAGTACTGTATAGTTGGGGAATCGTTTTATTTATTCTTGTTATTTCTTTTTTAGCCAATTTTATGCACTAATGTTTGGGAAGTATGTGTTTTTGGGTAAACCTGCATGAGGTTCTGTTCCCATTCTTTAAAATGCTGTTGATCTCTCTTTTCATCTCTGAATTGCACTTCTGTTCTTGAAGATTTCTCAACTTCTATTGATCCCGCTTAATTAAGGGAAAAAACAATTGAATTTGTTTTCACCTAGAAAACTGCTCTTTTGGACAGCAATTGTAAATTGACAAGCTTTCTTACAAAGGATACATTCGAATTATTTTGATACCATGATGTGTGCCTCATAACCTCAACCCTAGAGACTGTCACAATGACACCTTGAACGAGATCTGAAATCCTTGCGTTCTGAATATAGCCTAGGTGGTATTGCTATGCATTTTTCATGGGAAAGGCCAGGAGTTCAAGCCCCTTTGAGGCAGCGGGGTTGGACAGGGAACTGTGGGATTCCTAGTTATGGCTAACATATATAGAGCTCATATGGAGTAAGATGTCCATTCTATCAGTCAGCTCATAGGTCAAGATCATACCTCCCATGGGGGCCTCAACTGAATTCCAGTGACATTATCAGATGGCCTTAACACCCCCCCCCGCAACCCAAAAAAAAAAAAAAAAAACAAATTTTGATGGGGCCATTTTTAATCCAATTCAGGTTTCGGGCATGTGTGTGGTTATAAAAGGACTTCTAAGAGCTGAACATGGAAGTGCTGGCAGTGTCCATTGCGATGAAGTTGATCACTGTGGAACTGAACTACCAAGGTACTCTGTTCGAAGGAGAATCTGTGGGTTGTTTCTGAATCGATAAGAAATGAGCAGATGCATTATCCTTTCAGACTTTGGACATTTTATTGATCAAATTGTACTGCATTCAGAATTCTTGGAACAGTTTTCAATCTCTTGGGTTTGAGTCGGTTGACGACCTGGAAATTCTGTGGCTAAATATTGTGGTCAATTGTAATGGATCAGTTTTCAATCTTGTTTGAACGATGGAGTTTTTCTAATGTATCGACTTCAATGATTAGGATATGTTTAAAGAATGCTTGATACTATGATATCTATCAATAGTAACAAAAGGGATCGAGAAATAACGAATTATTTTCAATGTAATAGTGAAAATTTGATGGGTTGCAATATAACAGACAAATATGACTATGGAAAGAGTAGCAACATAATATGATGATTCATGTAATAATTCATCATTTTAAATAGTTGGTATGACAGTTTATTTAATTTGTTAAGTTCAATAGTGACGAGATTCGAATCTTAACATTACTTAATGGTACATTTGTCACT